TATTCAACCTGAAGTAAACTGTATGATTAAAATGAAAATTCATTCTATGGCCATAGATTAACATGATTCCAATTCTAAGTACCAACTTCTCAAACAAAGTTCCCCATTTCTGCTTTGCTTCACATCTTCCATGAGGTGCTAAAATGATTAACACACTGAATTTCAGCCCTGTGGTGACAATACTGAAGTATGAGGAGAAATAAGAGAGAAGAATGATTAAAAATGAAAAACATATTCACCTGGAAATACATTTGAATAACATGTGTCTTTCGCCCACCATGAGGGCAACCTGGACCTTGAGTTATTTTTCCAGAAATGATTGTGAATTTTTCATGTCTGATCAATGAACTTTAATTAGACAACCTCATAAGTTAATTAAATAACTGGAATAACAAGTTATTACTGAAAGTCACAATGTATAGCCTTGCAACATAAAAGCCAATTAGTCTACATCAAGATAAAAGATTGCTATTCAAAGACTTAATACATTGGCTCACCAATGTGAATAAGAGTCACTTGAAGAACTTTGAAAATACACAGATTCTCAGACTCATCCAAACCCACTAAATCAGGGAACTTGGAAAGGACAGGGGTATAGAATCTATATTAGTAGCGAGATCCCAGGTGATTCCTTATGTAGTCATCTTTACATTACACTGATCTGTGGATTGCTTACCAATTACCCTACAGAGTCATGGTCAAAGTATACAATGTGTTAGCCAGTAGAAAGAATTCACTAAATCTATCAATCTACCAATCTACATAAGTAGAGAGAGCTATACTCTTCAAACGAACTCATTAGTTTAGTTTGGATAAAAAGTATAGATACTTCCAAATTTATCTGAAGAGAATTAGATTAAGAAGTAAATAAAATGCAGTAAAATGCCATCCAGTGTCCTTGGCTTTGTAGCCCACTCAGAAGTGAATAACCAGTGTAGATCTGACACACAGCTTTGTTCTATTCATTGAAAGTATAAGATCTAGTTTACTAAAAGTAGTTGACAAGCACACTCACTTTGGTAGAGACTGTAGTTGCCTCCTAGTAGCTATTTTTCTTTATATCCTTCCTAGAAGAACTATACCTAGTAGAGTACATTGCCAGTGCCATCCAGATAAAGTCTACATTTCCTAGTTGTCCTCACAGGTCTATATAAATATATGACTAAATTCTGGCCAAGTAGAAATAAGATGAAATATTATGAAGTCTTAGAAGTTAGAAGTCTTCATAAAGGCAGAAAAGGCTCACAGCCTTTGTCTCCCATCCTCTATCCATGCGCCTAGAAAGTACACGTAATGGCCAGTGCTTCAGCAGCCATTTAGAGCCATAAAATCAAAAACCATGCCCCAGGGATAAGGGAGTAGAGATCTAGTCTCTGATGACATTGTGGAGCCAATATGCTAGCCATTTAATGCCTACTTAAATGTTTCCTTTAAAGGGGGGAAAAAAGCCTTTTAAATTTGTTTATGTTTGTTTATTTGTTTATTTAAATTACTGCATTCTGCTATATGCAGTTGGACCTTAACACAAACACCCACTAAAGAGAAAAGTCTTCATATCCTACATGATTTAAAGTATCTATTTTAATAGTAATGAGTTTAAAACTAGTTGAGTAAACAAAAATCTTAAGCTATCTACTCATATTCTGTACCTCCTTTAAAACGATTCCTTTCAAATCTTGCAGAATGTTAAGGATCTGCTTCTGCATATTTGTACTTGAACAGTGAGAAAAATGACAGAGATGAAGTCATAAAAATAGAAGTGATCATGACATAGAAAGAACTGTGAACCCTTCATCCCTTGGTAATCAAAAGTTGGCTTGAGTCCAGGATATCAGTGTAAAGTTGAAACAGGAGGGCTGCAAATTTATGGACTATGAGCCACATCTGGCGCTCAGATATATTTTAATTGGCTTATGCAGTAACTCTCAAAACATTAATTTTGAATATCATAAAGTGGATATGCATCTTCAGTTCCCCACAGGCTGCTCATCCTCTGTTGACGTGGAAACACTCACTCACTTCACTTATTTATGTCACCTGCCTGGCCTCTGAAAACAGCGACATGTATAGCTGCTAGAAATAAATGGTACATTTCTGCCCTTTATCTTCTCTCCACTGCTCATCTGGTGGTTCATACCAAAGGTTATTTTGTAAAATTAAGTATGCCTAGGTCTAATAACAGGAATGTATGTAGTTCACTAGCTATGAGAGTATTCTTCAGGAATACAAAATTAACTGGAAACACTCTAGCTTTTCTCTTACAAAAAATAAATATGAAATATTTCAATGGAACACACATACTGCCCACCACCAACACACACACATTCTTGAAAAACTGGTTTTATGTCTTAACTCCCTAATTCATGTTATTTTATAGTTTCAACTAAAGTTAGCCCAACTCTCAAACTTTTTCTTCCTGGTTTCTTATCAATTAAAAAACAATCCAATAAGTTCTTAACATTTACTGAGAAACAGTATTGATTTTGAACTAAAATGCCTACAACTTTATCTATTTACATCTACCTTATAATTCCTATTTTTATCAGACAGAGCCACTGTCCTTATATTTTACATTTCTGGCAAATACTCAAAGTCAAATACAAGAAAAATATGCCTTGAGGACATAAGCAGGGGAAAAAAAATATGCACTTACATGCAATAGCAGGTCTCTACATTTCCAAAGGAAAACATTGGTAGACAATGTAAATACCACAGTATATGATTTAGTCTTCATACCCAAATTTTGAAAAACATACTTGTTTTGCATGTGTGCCTTAGATATTTATTTAATTTTGAGCATTTACCTAAGCTTACTTTTCTCCAAACTCAAAACCACGTGGAGTTTCTCAATTCTGACATTTCCATTAAGCTTGTGACATGCCTCAACAGGGGAAATAAAGTATTGCCAAATATCCATACAGTATCAACTTAAACCAAAATATATATGCCAAGTAAATACAGTACAAGTTAAATGACTCCAGATATATTGGATTCTGGAATTCTTCTCTGTGTTATATTTAATTAGGGACATAACTACTTTCTTTTGCTATTGAAGACTTATCACATACATTCTCTTATGTTGAGTAATAAAACAGAGAAATTTATTTTTTACAATACATATGCAAGTAATCACACATTCTCTGTAAATCTGACATTTGGAATTCTAATTTCTGTGCTTGGTGATACTGGGGGGGACTGGAGTTGGTTTGGAGTTGGGAACTGTTTTTTGCATCAAAGTCTGACATTCCTAACATTTATGTAAATTACTATTTAGGAAAATTAAAGTCTGTTCATTTTTCAAAAACACCTACAGAGTAATTAAAACTGTATGGAAAGTCTTTCAATATATGGTCTATTTCATGTACCTTATGAAACAGTCTTTTCATTTCACATATTCAATTATTTCAGGACTTTTGTAAGAGTAAATTATTAATTTTAATGTAAATGAACAAAAAGATATATTAAAATGTTTTAATTAAACTTAGTTGTCTGTTGGGGGAGGAGGAAAATCTTCCTCTTACAATCATATTTTCTATAGCTACTGTAATTTTTCTGTATTTTTCCCCTTTTCTAAATTCTACTTCCTATTCAATTATCTTTCCCACCCTTCTAAGCAGCACATGCTTTTCACTATGACAAAGGAACTCAAATGTTTTTACCTTCTATAAATCGCTTCATTTTTCAGAACATAAAATGTGACATAAAAAGTTGCAAGATTTAGAAAGTGCCCCCTCTATGGGACTCCTGATAGATTGTTGGGTATTCATCTCTAGATTCTTATTTTGACTCTGAAAGTTTTTAGGATCTGTGATCTCTAGATTAATTTAATGAACATCTTTAGAGTAAGATACAGTAACGTAGGTCTAGATACAGCTATGTATATATGTGTGGGGGTAAAAGTAACAGAAAAATTAATGAAAGTGCAAAGTTTTAAAAACTTGAATTTGATGTTAAACAGTTATGAAAATATATAATGGCCCATTATAAAAGAGAATATGTCTGTATTTGAAATTTAGCCCTGAAGAGTAAGGATTCAAAAATCGGAAGAATCAATTTAAATATTTTCTCATGTTCTATATCAGCCATGAATTGCTGCTTAGCCAGACCATCTAACCTAACTCTGCTATTTGCAAATTGCACAGGCAAAACAAAGTTAGTAACAAGGCAAGATTTCTCTTTAAAAAAAAAAAAAAAATACCAAAAACAAAGAAAGGAAGAAAACTTTTGTCTACGGGATAAAAACCATACAAATGCTCTGTGCCAAACAAATGATATATAAGGCATGCTGATTTCCTGCCATCCAACTGGGAACCACCACTGTCCTCCTAACCAAGTCAGTAGGGTGGGAAAATACCACTGTTGAAGAAATCTGGCTTCTATCAGCCTCTGTCATGGAGAAATAAACGAGGCTGCTTCCCAGTAACCCAAAGTAATTTTAAGATCACAAATGAAAATGGTAAAGAAGCCTAAGTCTGTAAAGAGAAAAGAATGAGCAGCCAAAGACAAAGAAAAATCAGAGCTATCGGAGCTGCTGCCGAGCTTTTTCTAAACAAAGAATTTTATGAAGCCGCTGAAGTTCAGTACAAAAAAAGACTCCACCCTACCCAGCTCCTGCCGCGACTTTTCCTTGCTCCGAAAACTCCAGCCCACAGCACAGAATTCCTCTAACTAAATAAAACGCCTTTAGTGCTCTGTTGTAAGCACTACTCTTTTCTTTTCTTTTAAACTTCCCACTCTCACACTCAGGCGAAACGACTTATCTCAGGCTTTCCCAGAAATATTTAGTAGTGCACTCTTTCCAACGGCAGATCGAGACGCTCCGGATTCACAAACATCCCGATTGTCTTCCAAGCCGTTTGTTTCCCAGGTGCAAATCTGTCAGCCCCCTTCTCAAACTTCAAACCTGAGCCTCCTCTTCCAGCTCTTCCTGGGGCTTAACATTCCGCTTAGTTCTCAAACCGTGCGATAAACACCACAAGCAAAGCAAACGGCAAACTCACCATCCTCGCCTTCTTCCTGGGCTTTTATTGAGACAAATTGCCCTAATAAAACAGTAAGAATGAGGAGAGGTCTTGCTTCTACCCAGTTTGCCATCATGTCTAAATATTAGACATGTGGGTCCTCCTGGGAATAAAAAGTAGATTCTAAGGTTATTGTAGCACCATGAAGTCAGCTGTGGACTCTTCTTTCAGCACCAGCCCCGGGGCTGCCTCTGCAAACCCCCTTTTTCAGCACCAGCTCCGGCACAGTCTGTGAAAACTTTTTTCAAGCGATGCAGCTTTAAATAGGAAGAATGCTGCCTCCACTTCTTTTCCTGCCCCTTTTCAGCTTGTTCAGGCTCATAACCATCCAGTGTCTGCCAAGCAACGGTCTGATTGATGGTAAACAACCAAATCAGAACACGCGCCTCTGTGCCTGAACTTTCTCGATTTCATTTATGTTAAAAGCATGGATGGGACTAAATAACAGAAGCAAACTTTTATTTCTCTTTCCTTTTCTTTTTTTTTAAGAAAGTCTGTTCGAGAGAAAGAATCCTATTCTCCCCTCCCTAACCCTTCCCCCAGACACACTCCTTAACTTTTCCCCTATAAGCTGAAAAAGACATTCGGGAGGAAATACAGCCTTTTAGCCTAGTTTTAGGCAATTGGATAAATTCAAGACCCTCTTTTCCACCTTAAGTCTGTAAACGGATCACATTTTAACCCTTTCTTTTGCTTAAATAAGGAAGTATCCTCATCCCCTCTTAGATTCTACTTATGTTTTGTTTTTACCCCATACTCTGGAAGGGGACTCTTAGAACACTGCCCAGGTAAAGTTCAGGTAAGGAAACTACTTTGGAGAAATGAATTTGTGATGCAGCATACTTTGAATCCAAAAGACAGGTCTTATCCTGATCTCTCCACATCTCTTGTTAAGGAACCACACGTGCAGCTTTCTTTTGCCCAGAGAATTTAATTATATAGAAAAATTGGCTAGTGGAAAGAAATGAGAAGTCTACCACATCTGGATTCAGAGGGTTTCCGCTCAAACACCAGCTCTGCCCTCACTCATGTTGTCAATAGTCACATAGTCTTTATCTCTGCACACTCCAAATTTCTTATTTGATAAAAAGGCTTTACCCTGGTCAGTCTACAAGATTTAGTGACACTAAAATGAGTTGTATATTACTAAGTTTCAAATTGCAAATTGCACATAAAGTAAAAGGTGGTGTTATTAACTCTCCAGCGGGGAATATGGTAGTCTCAGATGCACATGCCCCCTGAGAGCAATATTCTTGAACTTCTGTACCACATTCATGCTTGCCAAGATAGTAATGACCTCAGAGGATTCTGTATAATCTAATCTGTTTGCTACTTTGAATACCCCTGGAATGGATGTTCTACACAGTACAGGTGAATCAGCTCAGGGATGATCAGGAACCCTGAACTGTGCTAAGCACTAAACTGTGCTAAAAAAGGATGACACCAAGGAAATGAAGAGGCATGTCCCTCGCTTTCAAAGAATGGATGCCGATAACTGAGAAAACAAATTTACATAAAACAAAACTAGAGCATATAAATATGTTTGGGATGCCTAAGACTCAGAAGAAACTCAGATGAAGGAGAGATTAGAGAATGAGATCAGATAAGGAAAGCATTTTTATCATTCTTCTCAATAGAAAAATCTAAGAATCTTTGAATTTTAGCTTTGGAGGTAGAATCTCTAGGGAGGTATTGTAGAGGAATCAGCGGTTTAAGGAGTTTCCGACTTTCTAACCCTGTACCCCTCAGTTTAACTTTTCACTGGGACAAATCTCATTTCAATGACATCTACTCCCAGGAGTTTCCTACTTTCCCCCAGTGAATGGGCTGAGTGAGAACCCTAAACTGTCATTTGCTAATTCTTCCTATAATATCTGAGAGAGGCCAGAACTTGAAAATCATCTTGGTAAATATTCAAAGAAACTAACAGGAAAATAAATAAATGCCAGGGAAAAATTAATTGTCCTCTGAGCTTCCCAGTACTAGTTTACTATGAGGCCTTGATACCCAAGGGTTGGCACAATTTTCAAACATCTTCTGTGGAATCTTTACTGAAATGCAGGTTAACAGACTTTTAGAGCTGTTAAATCTCCAGCTCTCAGCAATGATTCTCCATGCTGGGGATCCAAAGAAGATTAGATAAGATCAGAGGACCTGAAGTAGAGTCAGTGTACATAATCTTCAGTTCCTGCTCAGATCAGTATTTTAGGATCTATCGTTAATAAAGTTATATTAAACTGAACTATAAGCAGGCCATGTATAAGAAAGATTAAAAGCATAATGCAACCTCTCACAATTCCTGCCAGTTTCAGCTTCCTCTTCCGACCATACCAAAAGCTCTGGTATGACAGAGACATAGCAAATATTGTCAGGAAAGCAGAGATTAATTAGCACTCTAGCTCATCCTTGTGAAGTTTTTACTCTTATTGTCAACACGTCAATAAATAGCAAAATATTTTGTGACTTGTGCTTTTTCTCTACATTTGGCTTTAAAATACCACATGCAATTTGGAAAAAACCAAAACATACAGGTTTTGACCAGATGTGTCTGTTTAATAGATATGACTGAATTCAGGGGGCAAGATAGTCCTTGGGAACTGATTCTAGTGCTGGACCAGAGGACTCAGAAATCCGTCCCCATTCCCAGAAGGCCTACCCCAACAGTATATGCATTGTAATAATGCGTGCTTCGTGGGTCAATTTTTACCCATTCTCACAGCAACCTTGAAAAGTGTTTATCATTTTTATCAAAATATATATTTGGAATCATGGTTTAAATGTGTTTACTTGCTCAAGTTTGCTTAGCTAGGTGGTAAATTTAAGAATCTCTTTCAGGCCAGTGACTGTGGCTCAAAGGAGTAGGTCGCCCACGGCCCCATATGCTGGAGGTGGTGGGTTCAAACCCAGCCCTGGCCAAAAAACTCCTAAGAGTCTCTTTCAGTAATTTCTAACACCAGAGTGACTGTGCTCACTGCCTCTGGGGTTGGTCTTAGAGGTGCCCAATCATTTTTTTTTTTCTGCTGCACATTGGAAGAGTAAGAATTGTGTTGGGAAAACATTAAATAAACAAACAGTAACGAAAGCTGATGAGCACACAAAAAAAGGTCCCTGAACACTTTTTATGATATCCAACACCACAGATAAGCAAAACGGGCCTCAGACAATCTGCATGCAGCCCACACCCCACGGGTTGTACACCCATGAGTCCTGCCTGACTCTCATACTTCCAGACTCAGAGGGAAAGGTGACTCAGCACCCTTGCAGGGTTGACCCTTCCCTCCACACTCCTGGCCTGGCCCCTCCCTTCTCCCTCAGGACATTGCTGTGTCAGTGTCCCCCTCTCTCCACCTTTCACCTCTCTTTCTCTGCTTGTTCCTTTCCTGCAGCCTGTAGACCTGCTCCTTACCAATACCTGACTTATAAGAAAAGGAAGGAAAGTTTTCCTTTCCCCCATGTCTTCTGTAGTCTCTTTTCTTCCTTCCACTCCTCCTCCTCCCCGTCACCCTTCACCTCCACACCAGGGACTCATTACCAGCTCTATATTGTACCGCCAGAGACATCAACAAGCTCTTTGTTAATTTTTTTTTATTATTAAATTATAGCTGTATACATTAATGCAAACATGGGGTATAGTGTAGTGTTTTCATATACATTTTGAAATACTTTCATCAAGCTGGTTCACATAAATTTCATGTCATTTGCGTAGTCATTGTGTCAAAACATTTACATTCTAGTTCTAGAAAAGTTCACTTGTACCCTTGTTAGACAGAAATATAGGTGATCTTTCCGGTCACCCTCCCACCACCCAGCCACCCTTCTCCCCTCCCCTTCCCCAACCCCTCCCCCTCAAATGAAAGAAACAACTTAATTCTAGCCCAAGAATATGGGAAGGGGGTGGGGAAGCCCTTTGTTAATAAACCCAAAGATTTTGTCTTTCCTCCCGTCCCCAGAGCAGCTGATACTCACTACTCCCTTCCTACTGAAATCCTTTCCTCCCAGGGCCTCCCTGGGCCCACAGACTCCTCCTATGCCCCCTACTTTGCAAGTCAAACTTACTCTCAGAAAGCTCCCTGGTGCCCTGCAGTGCTGTCCCGTCAGCTTTTTCCCTCCTTGCCCACTGACCTGGGCTGTGCTGGCTGGTAGATCCTAGACCTTGTCTCCATTACCGTGGGATTGACTCTCAGTCACGGCTTTCCTCCTGAGCTGCCGACTGTATCACTGTCTACATTAAACGTCTCCCACTGGGTGTGTCCATAAAACTCAGAGTCTAGAATGAAACTCTCGTCTCCCACTGTTTCTTATGCCAGTTAACAGTACCACCCTCCTCCTGGTCCCAAGGTCAGAGCCAGGGGAGGAGTCCCTTTGTCCTCTCTCAACCTGCATCCCACTGGTCACCAAGCCCTGAGGATTTTGTTATATATTCCTTCACTCAATTACTCTGCTTTCTAAACAAACCTGATACCCAAGCACTTTATAACACAATATGTTAAAATGATAATAATACATACCAACATCTTGGTTCCCATCTTTTTAAACTTTCCTCTTGTTTCACTCATGGAGAAAATAGATTTTCCAAAGCACATAAAGCAGTTTCATACCTCTGAATTTCATACCTCAGGTCTGGACCTTAGCCTGAAATAACCATCCCCTGATCTAATTCATGCCCTCATTTAAAAAATATTTATTGAGTGTCTGGCAAATTCTATTCAAGGCACTAGGAGACAGCTGCGGACAACAAACACAGATGAAGTCCTGGATCCCATGGAGTTTACCACCTGGAGTGGAAAAATAGCCTTAAATAAGTGAATATGCAAGACAGGTAATTTCAGAAAGATAGCCCATGGAGAAAATAAACAGTATTGCTTTAGGGTTGCTCAGGAGTTAGGACAAGAGGAAGGTTACGATAGGGCCATCAGGGAAGACCACATTTAAGGAGATAACAGTGAAGCTGAGACTTAAAATTGGAAAAGAATGTATCACTGGAGAACTGAAGAAAAGCATTCCAAGCAAAGGAATCAGGATATGTAAATGGCCTGGAATGGTGTGTTCGTTTCCTATTGCTGCTATAAAAATTATTATTGACTGTGGCTTAAAACAGCGTTAATGTACCATCTTATATTTCTATAAGTTAATGGTTTGATGTGAGTCTTATTGGGCTAAAAATCAGTGTCAGCCAGGCTGCATTCCTTTTAGAGCTCTAGGAAAGAATCCATTTCCTTGCTTTCTGAGCTTCTAGAAATCATTGTATTCCTTGTTCTGTGGCCCCTTTCTCTACCTTCAAAACTAGCAATATAGCATCTGCCTGATGCTATAGCCTTTGTTGTCACATCTCTTTCTCTGACCACAGCCTG